TAGAATATGTACCTACCACCGAGTTCATAATAATATAATACTACCCCCTAGAACGTCTGCAACGGTTGTTGAGCTGCATTGGACTTATGATCCGACGGATAGCATCAACCCACATTAAACGTAATACCTTGCACCTACAATATAAATAAAATAAAATATTATAATCATATTATGATGTTAATAACATACACGTTTTCTATTGATTGCGAGGCATAGACGGGCAGCTGGTGAATTGAATGAATTATGGTCGACTGCAAAAAGCAACTTATCGAGTCAATTTTTAGATTTTGGTCATCAATTTAATACTTTAAACATATTCATCTGCAGCTATACACTGTCAACTTTCTAATAAAAAGAACAGTGATAACACGATGTTTTATATTTTTCGTCTCCGAGTTATGAACACATTTCAATCATAAAAAATAAAAAATGTCTTTTAATACATTTTTTTAAATTACTTCCCGGGCGACACAATATGTATGTATTATACTAATCTCATTATATTTCTTAATTAATATTCTTTGATTTCATAATTTATTTATATCTTAAACGTATAATTTCCTAAGACATTTTAGCTAGACTAGACAGTGTGCAATAATCACTAGGATGCTTTTTAAAAAAAATGTTCAGTTGTTATTTTAAAAGTGTGTAAGATAAGCTGAGTAACGGCTTAAGTTAAATTGATATAGTATCCATATCCATACTAAACTTTAACTTTTATAGTAAAATACGTAGTTTTATTGAACTTAATTAACTTATAACTTAACATTTTTAAAATAAACTTAGTCAAACTTACTTAAAATAATTTTCTCCAAGTAGCTAATGTTGACTCCGCACATATTTTGGTATAGATATAAAATATACAATACAGTAGGTACAGCCTAAAAATGTATAGGTAGCTAAAAAATTGTTTAGACGCACAATTTAAGTTAATAAAAATTTGAAATTAATTTAATAGTCACAAAAAAAAAAAAAAAATAGTAGTCAATAGTTGTCACCAAAAAATGAATTTTAGGTAGAAGATACCCGGGATCGCAAAATGTGTTTTAATATTTTAACGAAACTACCCACACGATATATTATTCTTGATACTGTAGGCATTATGTTTACTGATAAAATTGTCTACTTTTCAATTTATAGACCCCTGAACCCCACCACAGGTCTGCAGTGGGTTCAGTATTATAATATTACATGCGCATGATATCGAAAGCCATGCTGTTTTTCCTTTGTACGTTTAAGCCGGGGCACTAAGTATGCAAATCCGATGCACGTACGCGTAGAAACAAGTCAGTTGCCTAACTTTCGCTGTTTAATAATATTATTTATTATTTTCGAGATTGTGTTTTCAATTTAAGATATCTCTGCTCGGGAGCACAAGTTGAATTAGGTAACAAACTTTAGCATGTATTCTCGATACACACACACACACACACACACACACACACACACACACACACACACACACACACACAATATATATATTGAAATCGATTCGTTTCCAAATACAGCGATGGTACGCAGTATCTCGTCGATTGCCACCGAACGAATTGGACAACACAACACGCACACCGCTAAAATCGTAAAACAATGTAACATAAATATAACATTAATATGTTCCGATCGTCGGATTGTGCAGCTCTAAATCGTATCTTGACGATGCGTGATTAGATCATAATATTATACAGTAGTGGACAGAATCATTCGAAAAATCTATAAAGATAACTTAATATAAATATTATAATATCCCTACAGCAAATTAAAGGTGAAAAAATGTTCTTACACATGAGCAGATATCATTACTTCTATATAATATAGTCTTGTTGGCTTTAACTTTTTCCCATATATATTACGATTAGGACATGCAATGAGCGACCATCTGTTTTCTATAATATATTAATATGATCTAATAGATGAAATCGCAAAAGGTCATAATAATTCAATCTTAATAGTGTGGCAGCTATCGAACGTCTAGTTCACCCACCCAGACTCGAGTGTTGTGTTTCGAGGATTATAGTGGGAAAACGGATTACTCAGCGGTCAGAGTTCGTAAAGTGTACGCGAAACGATACGAAGACGACGACGACGTTATTGTAACGAAGCGCAGACAGACGACTAGAATTCCGTGTAGAGTTTAAAAACGGAAGAGATGGTTTTTTTTTATACGATCTCCGTTGAACGCATCATATAAATAAAAACGTTTCTTATCTTTACCACTCTCGTATGTGTATGTGTTGTGTGTGTGCGTGTGTGTGTGTGTGTGTGTGTGTGTGTGTGTGTGTGTGTGTGTGTGTGTGTGTGTGTGTGTGTGTTCATACATTTAATGTGTGTTTGGGTGTATACTGAACATACATAAAACGACACTCTGCTCGCACGCATAAATAAAATACGTATTTTTATTTTTATTATTTTATTTTTTTATCTCGGAACTGTTATTATTTTTCCAACGAAGTAATTGTGATTTATAATACTTGTATAGGATTTAACTTCATATATATATTTGGGTAGAAATTAATTTCATTTATTTTGTTTTGTGCACTATATATATTTTATAATATGTGGTAGGTACTAGGTACATTGTATTATATTTTATGTGGATCCTTTTGCGGATGACTTAGTGATAGCGTATGCTCCAATAACAAGATGTCGGATTATTCGTCGTATTCCGATAACGATTTATTTTTATGCCAACGTCCTCTTTAAAAAAATAATACAACTGCTGCTCCTTTTAACTGATTATACTAATATTTTCCAATTCAACTTTTGAAAAAAAAATACTTGCACATAAGTGTTAAGTATTTATACAGTGTTCTTTTTTTGTCTAGTTTTAATCATACAATATTAAGTTTAAATATCGAAAGCAGAACAAAACCAGAAATATTGTTGTTTTAATATATTGGGTATGCATTATAGTGAATAAATGAAGATTTTAAGTAGATATAGATGAGTGTTAGTGAGTCATAGTAGATCACGACTTTTGCGGACTGTCCAGTGTCAATTTAACATTGGTTTTAAAAATATTATAAAATTAAAAACATTTTATTCTTATTAAAAAAATAAAATGAAACCACTATTGTGAGAAAACATGTAAAAAAATTGATTTGTTATTGACGATGCTGGCTTAACAAGCTATACCTGTAAAAATACAAGAAATTGACTAAACAAATTAATGTACCTATCTCCGAGGGGTCAAGCACGATTCAGGGAAAAAGAATACTAATATAAAAAAAAAATAGAATTCGTTGGTAATAAACTCATGTCCAATGAATAATTTTTTTGAAAATAAATTAATGAATACATTTTTATAAATTGTATCATATGACTCAAATAGGTGTATACTGTATAGTATATTATAATATTATACGAAGATATCAATAATTATGATATAGGTGCTGTGTAAATAAAACAATATAATAATATATAATAATATGTTATCTAGTGCGAGAACTCGGTTCGCCGGTTTTTAGCAAAGCGACTCTATTACTTATATTATTCTACTGTAGCTGTCCTTATAAGCGTTGAACATGTTTTGACAACAATTTATCGCGTTAATATTTCATCTCCGGAGGAATTCTGTGCAGCAGAGACGTTTTTATTTTCTCGAGTCAAATATATTAGTTACCCCGCGCGAATCGTATATATATATATATAAGTGTGTGTGTGTGTGTGTCTGAGTGTAATAATATATAAATTGTTCAAGCGAAACATAAATTTAAAAACGTTCCTATGAAATAAACCGGGTGCTATAAAGTTTTGTGCGAAACTCGCGATTCTCGAACTCGGTTTCGCTGCGGGACAAAGACATGTACCAATTATATCATTCGTGCATATTATGCAATATATTAAGGTTTAAATTAAAGTATTTTATATATTAATTCAGCCTTACAGGTAAATTGTGTTACCCATATATCACTTAACGTTCGCAGCAATCGTTTATTTTTGTGTGGTAATGAGTGTAGGTGATCCACGGCAAAGTCTATATGGTACTAATAACGTCTGAAATTCTGTACTTAGGGCCATAGGTTAAGATTTTATTGAATTTCAGGGGGGAGGCTTAAATCTTTTCTTACAAAATAAAAAGTTGTGGCAACGGAAAATGTTTAATAATTTTGAGGGGGTCTTTCAATATTTTGTTATTAGTTATTTATAATTGTATATTATAATAAACTTTGATCTGTATTTTATATTTGGTCAAAACCACCTGATGAATGTGTCAAAAATATGACGTGATGGTTACATTTAACGGAGTTTAAGACAGGGTAAAGCCACTGGCATCATTTAATTTGTCAAGGACAATGCCGTGTAGGATCAGCTACAATTAATAATTACATCTACTGTATAAAATCAAAGGTTTAAACGGGTAACCCTTATGTAAATTCACAGTTTTTGACCGACTTTCATAAAATGTCCGTCTATAGATTCAACAATATTCGTAGTGACATGGCCTACTTTGTATTACTTTCTTTTGAATACATAAATGTTCAATTTAGTTGACTCACGGAAAACCATAATTTTTTATTTATAAATTGGTTATAAAAATAAAATAGTTATAATAATTGGATATAATTGTACACTCTGTATACCCAATTAATAGTATTAAAAAACTGCGCAGTTTACGTTTAAAGGTGTTTAACAAAGAGTAAATCCCCTTGTTGTAACCTCCATCTCCCGGAAAGTTGTTAAATAATAAGAACATTTACATTCAAAAATCATTTTTAAATAAAATCTGTCGACAATTAGTTTTACNCCCCCCCCCCCCCAACACATAAAAATAAAAAATCTTGATTTAAACTGGTCACACTGATTGTAACTAACTCACTATACTGTACTTTTTATGAATTCGATTTTTGCCCAAAAATTATAACGGCAGAAAACAGTAAAAATTATAAAATATAAGACATGCCTTACTTCGATGATGACTGCCCCGGCCCCATTCCCGAGACCAAAAATCCGGCCCAAAAAATGCGAAAATCATTAATCCGTCATTGTTGTTTTTGTTACAGCGATCACTCGATAAGCACCCGGGTAGAACGGCTGGACGAAGCAATAATGGAAGCGTCCAGAGCACTGCAGGGCGAACCGAGCGGATTATGACAATACTCGGAGACGAGCTGCTGAACACGTGTAATTCGGCGCCAACTGCATAATAATATACAACGCGTAATGATTATTATAATACAACATATAATGTCATAATATTGTATACTTATTATTATTATTATTATTATTATTATTTATTACTATTGAAATTGTTGTTGTTGTTATAATATTATTGTCGTCCAGCGATGAGGCTCTGTCACCAGATGAGCAGACTTCCACGTGTCGACGAACACGTCATGTCACGTACAAACTGCTCGAGTTACTTCAGTTCGGATCGAGACACTGCAGTAGTCATTATTATACATTACATATTATTATAATACACGTGTACACATATATTTATAAAATATTATACTATGTGTTTTAAAGTGTACGTTAGCAAAAAATGTGTACAGTTATATTACGAGTTGTTAAGTTTTCATTTTTTGAAACGCAGTAAAATTATAAAATATTATACAATAAGAATTATTGAGTATTGATTTAGATTTATATGCAAATGCAATACTATTATTATTATAATTTATAATTATTTTTATTATTATTATAACTATTATAATATAATAATAACATAAAATTGTACATGTGAACAATACATTTGAGCTTGCATATTTTGTACAATAATATTATTAATAATATATATATATATATATATTATATATTATATATGTATATATATACATATATATAATATATAACGCACATTTTAACGAATAAAAAGAAAGTATAGAAATGCCGTTGATAATAAAAAATAAAATAAACGATTTGTTTTACTTTATTGTTGTTTTATTACATCATCACTATAATATTTTCCATTTTATTATACGCTTCGTAGTAACTAGTAACTAGTAATAAGTATATTATGATGCCACGTGGTGAGCACTGTGTACAAGACGTATGTTTCGTAATATTATTACATAAACGCATAATGATAATATAATCATAAGCACTGCCAGGGTATACTAAAATAATTTTGGTTTTACAGACTTAGGCCTTGATCAGTGACTAACACTACCCTTCAACCTTCCAATTACTTCAAATTTAATGCTCATTTAATTAAAAACAGAATATTATTTGGTATATATTATCGAATTAATAAAATAGAAAATATTTTTAAAATGCAACTTTCTAGGGCAACCAGTGACATATGAGGGCTCAAGATAGTTTTTATTAACCGAGCAATGATAATTTTTTGTTTATAGTTATTTTTTAAGTACTAATCATACTTCAAATGCTAAAAATATGTACACTAATAATTACTCAAATGTTTAAAAAGGTCGAATAATAATATAGTACCTCTAATATATATTATAATACATACAACATATTATTGTTGGTACATAGGTCATAGGTACCATCACATTCGTTGAATATAACTGAAATAATTCTCGAAAAACACACTTGCCATGAGATCGATATAATAATAATATTGTAATGAACCATTTGATTTTCTCGATAATCCGTTCACAATATAAAATACAATACTTGTTATTCGTTTGTGAGGAACAATAATACTACACTGTGAAGCGTATTAACAGGCACATTATAAGTTATAAAATAATAATACAATATCGAATAAACCTCAGTGTATGATTACTCAAATAAAACGACGAAAGCTCTAATGTAGAAACTAGAAAGTAGAAACTATTCCTATTTATTATAAATTTGTTTAAAATCTCATCAAACATAAAATACCTATGTGATACGTATCGCTTATGAAAAATAAAAATTGTCAATACTGAAATCAAACCCGTATCTAAATACTACAATAACTACACGAATTCGCGTTAAAATGGCTGGCAGACTGCAAATATCAATATAATAATGACTCGGACTTGGCAACGTTCCGGGGGGGGGGGGGTTTTTTATATAATGTATTATTTCATACATGTAGCAATTTAGAAAACATTTTATATAATGACCGGATATATGGACCAAGCGTTAGATATAAATATATAATATATTATTAGGGCTGGGATTTTGAAGTACTTGGCATTGTTTTCTACGCGATGCTCGTTTTATAACATATTATACCGTTTCGTGTACCTACTTTTCAAACAGAACAAGAACATTTTATTTTGCATATTATTCATTTTTAGATCCTTTTAATGTCTTTAAGGCATCTACAATAAATGACAAAACAAATATTAATTTTTAAGAATTGTATTTCAATGCTTTTGACCGTCACTTTGTAACGTGACAACAATGGTTTTACCTAATTGAATAATACTATTTTTCAAATTTAATTTTTCGAACGAATCTATTTGACTTTAGAATCAAGATCACGAGTGACGATAATTGTATGAAAATAATTATTTTAGATTAAAAGTTCAAGTATATAACTTTAAATTGTGCAGTCCTGTTAACTTTTTTTTCTTTTAATAAAAATATTTTTTGACTTTAAACTATTTTTAAATAATACAATTTAAGATAATTTTATAAATGTGTTATTTCGAATTTTTAGGGCGTATCAAATCATTTTTTAGGTGTTTTAGTGTGTATTATTTTTTCATGCCTATATTTTATTTATGGTCTTATAAAATCGATCTGACTTAAGTCTTATGTAAGTGTTTCAGATAAAAATATTACATACGTAGGTGTGACCGTTAACTATTATATATGTAATATGCTTTTAAAAAGACTAACTAAAATATATTTTTTTACTGGATCACGTTCTTCATAAATTATTAAGGTTATCAAAATATATCTGATTGCAATCGCTTGAGCTTGTTAGGTGTTAATATTTAAATGTTACGATATCTATATCTATACTACTATATAAAATGGGTTTCTTTGGTTCGAGATAAACTCCCAAACTACTTATTCAATCGTTGTGCATTTTTTTTGAATTAAAAAAGACGTCACAGAGAAGGTTTTAGGCATAAATTTAGTCCGATAAAGTTAATAAATAATTAGTTATTATTAATTCAAATAAACGTGTGAATTGACTACCTATACCTTTTTAGTGAGAAATAGTCGTTGGCTGAAAATAAATAACAATCAAACTCGCCAACCACAGATACTTCTAAGCTGTTCGGTATCTACTTGGAATAATAAAAAATTACTATAATTTTTTAGTTTAAAAACAATTACTATAGTTTTTTAGTTTAAAAACAATTACTATAATTTTTTAGTTTAAAAACAATTTATTTAAAAAAAAAAAAAAAACAATTTATTTCATCTGAATATCTATTATTATTTATTAGTATTTATAATGAATGGTGTTACATTAGTTATTGGTAAAAAATAACTAATAACTAATCGAATTTTCACGAATTGCTTGCTAAGATGGTTGAGTTGCACTTATAGCCGCTCATCGCCGTATCCACAGTCAAAATAAAAAATATTATTTTTATGGAGTATTTGCGGGTGAGGTACAATAATAATAGTCTAATATAATATAATATAATATAATATAATATAATATAATTGTAATATTATATTATATAATAGGACATAATATCCTACCAATTTTATCTTTGGTTAAATCCATAGTTATACTTACAAAATGTACATACACGAACTCTAATTTTAGCGCTTCGTACTTTAAATCTATTACATAAAAAAAAAAGTTGCAATAAGCATCAATTTTTCTATTGACACAAGCGATATAATTTGTTTTGAACATTATGAAGAATCCTCAGTGGCGACTCTAAATTTATATGGCTACATTACATCTAAAATAAAAATAATTATTTAACATCCAGAAAATAAATAGCAAATTAATATCTGAGAAATCTTGCAATAGCGAAACATTGCCGGGTTAGCTAGTAATATAATAAACTAATATTTATCAGCTAACATTCAGTTGTTATAGTCGTCATTAACTCTGTGAGTTCTAGTGAAATAAAAATGTGTACTCGGTTTGAAAAACTTTTGTGATACATACTACGTTTTTGATAGACAATATTATATATATTCATATTTCGACTTTTTATTGACGAATATTCTTTTATTGATATTTTAAGGCAGAATATTAATTTTAAAAAAAATTATTAAAAATATTGAATAACGGTCGATAAAATAATTATTTAAAGAAGTTACCCCGCATTCGTTTATTTCAAACTTAGTTTCGTCCTTGCGACTCGATATTCAAAAGAGGAATACAATATGACCCTTGAAATATCTACCAAGTTGAAATGTTTACTTTTTTTAATATATTTTCATTTAAATGAAATACCATAAAAATATAATTATTATCAAATGACTTATAGGTAGCAATTATTATTCAGACGGTCTCCAATATATTTAGTAGTTTCACCCCGGCCATCTGAGTCCCGAGACTTGGACTGGCACTGGGTGTAGTATGGTACAGGTATACGTACTGTATACAGCAGAGGTATTCAAAATTTTTCATCCCTTTGTGTGTTCACAATATTTTGACGATTCTCAAATATTGTTAAGAAAAAATTCAAACAACACGTGGATACAATAAGGGTGTATCAATAATAACTTTAGTACAAGAAATAAAACTTATTTAAGTGGTTTTCGTTATCGTTTCCACAATTTCTATAATTATTATAAATAATATTTATATTAACTGTATACGCATCATCTACATTCATTGTTTCCCCCCGTTCTTCGACACGGCTCCTTTCGACAACCCTCTCGACATCCGTGCATGGAGCCCCGACGTACAGTTTGAATATACCATGTACTGCCATAATATTATTACTGTCCGAAAACCCTCGAATTCATCTCGGTCGACGATATTAGGAACGAAAGCAGTAAGAGCCTTTTTCGGTGGGGGGGGGGGATCGGGTACGGTTGTTACGCAAAACAATTGACCTTTACTGCGACCGGACGGCGTTTACGTATTTTACGGTGGAGAAAGGGAGTAGCTGGTGATTGAGTGAAAAAAAACCCGTTAACCTTTACGTACCCGCAGCATAATATAGAATGAAACATAATATATACATATATGATATATATATATAGTAATATACAATAGTTTGAATAGCAACTATACATCATATAGTAGGTATACAGCTCCGTAGCAACCTTTACGTAAAATTTCCGTCGGCGTTTTGCCGTTCTCGACACGACGCGATTCGTCATATATCGTAGGCACCGGTGCACGGGTAGACGACGACAATAACGACGTTCTCTAAAAATAATATTGCCAATAGGTTGAGCGCCAAATATTATATAAAACGAACACGCCGACTACAAATATTGTACCTTATAATGTATCTTATTATGGTACCCATATATAAAATATACAATATACCTGCAGCTGGCGATCTATTCAATTATGTTTGAACTCATTGTTTTGAAAAGCTTTAAGTTTTTCGAAGATATTATTTCTGTACGATTTGATATGATTTCAAAACAACATTTCTGAAAATAAATAAATATTTTTTACTATATTTTATAGTTATCAACTTTTAAGTTTTTATGTTTTTGAACCACACGATACATTTTTTATTTCACATTCCAAAGCAGAATATTGTATTTGAAGTATTTAAAAAAATATATTATTTTTTAAAAATTAAATATCAGAGAAAAGTAGTTCATTAATTATAACTTCATAAGTACTTATATAAAGTTTTGATTAGTGGAGAGTAGTGGACAAAATTTGGCGAGGTATTTAACGCAGTGTTAAACTGTGATAATTACTAGGTACCTAGTCAAAATAACATAATTGAGTCTACCCGGAAAACTGAATAGGTCACACCACCTCACCGACAAGTGCTAAATTATAATACAAAATTAATACTTAAAACAATGAA